GCACATCTTTTTTTTTTTTTTTTCTCCCCCTTTTTAGCGGACATGTTTTTATAACCAACGCGGTTCTCACGATGTAGTAAGACCAGTTCAACCTTCACCTCCTTGACACACATTTAAAAACAGGGGGTTAAAGCCAGCGGTCTTTTTTACAACGTGAGACCCGGGAAGGCCCCCCGGTCGAGGCTCAAAGTTCCCGACGGTGGAAATTAGAAACGACGTCACAAGGAAGCGGAGCTGGCCGAGAGGAGCGAGGGAGAGGAGCGACCCTCGGCACCGATCCGCACAACTTTTACCTCCAAATCACGGCCTTTATTCTTGAAATTCTTCAGCCGCTGGTTGTCCAGTTTCTCGTTGTCAGCCATGTTCGCGGTTCTGGTGGCGTTAAATACAGTTAAACTCGTGGAGATGTATATAATTTTTTTTTTTTTAGCTCTTCAGCTTCCCCCCCCTTTTTTTTTGTTTTTTTTTTTTTGTTTTTTTTCTAGTTCCCGTTTCTCAGCCGTTCGTTAACGGACTATTTCTTGCTGCTGTGTCCGCGGTGCATACTGGGAATGCCGGTGGTGGAGGGCAGCCTCGCTCTGGCGTAGAGGAAGGGTGGGGAAATCCCCTTCACTCTCATTGGCTTCACGTTCAGCGTCTGTCTGCGGGGCGCAACACACAACAAACATATAAAAGTTACATTATTTAAAACGTTATATTCAATTATAAGTTAATCCTCCGTTATATGCACTTTTTTTTATATTTTTTTTCTCACTTTTTTTTATTTGTGCCGTTATATTTATTAGATTACTTCAATTGATAGGTACACGTTTTTATTTTTTTGTGTGGATTTCATTAAAAAAAAGTATAAATAAATAATATAAATAAATACATTTTATATTTTAGCTCCTTTTTTTTGACATGGATATTTATATTTTAGCTTATATTCTCTGTTACCTTTTCCATAACAAACGTCTAATTCACCTTTTGTTGCCTTTGTTTTGTGTTGTGACTGCAACCAAAGGGTTGTAATAGTTTATTTGGCAACTAAAAGTAAAGCCTAAGATGAATAAATAACTTTAGTTCAAAGATTAATTTTGAATCCAAGATTAATTCTGTGTATTGTGTGAATTCTCACAGTGTATGTGCGAGGTCACCTTGCCCTTCCAACATCATCCAGATGATTTTCCATATTTAGCCATTATAACTGTGGTTCTGAAATACCTGTTTTTCGACTTCCCAGTGAAATACTCTTCGATTTTGGCTGTTTGTTAGTTGATGTCCATAAAAGACATAGTATTTCACGCCACTAAATGTTTTAACTCAACTACATTTATTATAGTTACTTATTACTACTACAAATTCAGCTGCCTTTAGATTGCCTTTGACTAAGTAACTTTGAAAGAGACCCATTTGATTTGACTCAGATTGATGAAGCCTCATATTAGCTATGGCTGAACTTTGAACTGCATTTCTGCGGTGACTTGTCCCACATCTCCTTCACTGGAGTAAGGAGAGGATCTGTTTACAGTCACTATGGACAGGATGAACAATCACATTCTTGTATTGCAACATTTATTTAAACCTACTACTAGTTTCACTGGTTATATCTGTATATCTATATGACCTAAGCACACCAGACCATCAGTGAGAAGATATGTTATTTTTTATATAATTATAATGCCTGCTACTGGGTTGGATTCAGTCAGATTCCCCTTGAAATCAATGAAAGGAGGCGGTGGAAACACTACTGCTATTGTCCACAGGGCCAACCAGAATAAAAAAGAGAATAAAATCCCTTGTTGCTGCTTTAAATGAAGAATTACTGCTATTTATTTTATTGCCCAAACTCCACAAGAACCACCTCATTCAATCCCAGATATTTGAGCAACTTTATTTTATTGTAACAAGCAGACAAAACAACATATATTGAAACAGAACCAGAGTAAAATAACATGCTCTGAACATGAGTTGACATATTTGACAGTTTTGTTTTTGTTTTAATGTGCTGGATGTAACAAGATGTATACTTTACATCAGTATCAAATCTTCATTCAATGTAACATATTGTGACTGACACTGGCAGTGGAGTCATTCTGAATAAATAAATATACAGCATGAATGAAATAGTACGCACATTACAAAAAGTCTTTTTATTTTAATATTATGATTTTATAAATAATACAAATAAAGAAAAACTGATAATGCACAATTGGAAAGCATTTCTTTGAGCCACAGACAAAAACATGTGCAGTATGTCAGGCGTCATGTTCGGCTCATATCAGCTGTTTTTTAAAACTACCCTCATAATCCAAGAAACTCACTGCCTCTTCACGGGTTATCACCGTGGTTCAAAGACACTTTGTCTTCACTAGGGGGTTGAGTAAAAGTTCTTTCCGCCACAGAGATTGAAACTGTGATCATGTTGTTATCACCTCCTCTCATTGATCTTGCCACAACGAGGCCACTCACCGGTGAGTTTCACAGCCGCTGGCTGAGAAGGAATCCTGAACGACTCTTCAAAAAAAGGACTCTGATCCATCATCGGCCGCAAAGCAAGGCTTGTTTCAGGGCTGTGATACTGAAGCCCTTAGACCTCATCTTAACCTTAATGTCCTCTTGAGTCTGTTTCAGGGGAGTCTTCATCAGATAGACTATCCTCCTGAAACCTTCCTCTAGTCCCATGCCGGTGGTGGCTGAACAGGGCTGGATGAACCAGGCCCTGCCCTCACACACTCTCGTCAAGTCCAGTTTCAGGCAAAGTGCTTCTGGGCTTAGAGATCCCTGAAGGTCCTGTTTGTTGGCAAGGACCACGAGAGGAACCCCCTGGAGGCTCTCGTACCTCAGGACCTAGTAAATAGAGAAAGTTAAGAGTGTAATTACTACAGTGTAGAACAAACTTTTAGAGTAACTAGTCCATTGCTTGGAGATATTTACACTATCAGGTAAACAATGTTCAAAAATATGTTTTTTCTTCTTGTTCTTACAGTTGGATGTTTGATCTTCTCTCTGCAGAAGGTTTGTGGAGAGTTTGACACTAGAAGGATCTTTTCACATTCATATTCAAAATTGCATATTCATAGATTCTGCTATTTTTAATGAGGTAGAAGAGTATGCCCCTTTAAAGATTTAACGTGGAAATTTTAGTCTTTTTTTTTTGGGAGAACATATCAGACACATAATACTGTTCCAAGGAGAAATAGTATTAATGTCTTAAAGAATTAAACAATATGCAAAATGTTTAACTACTGGACACAAGATGTCTCTTACTTCACTAAAAAAGTCCATTCAGTGCTCAGGATTCAAGGTTTCATATCACTCTTGTGTAAAATGCTTTTGGCTTCCAAACTAGTTGTAATGTCACAGAATCAGCCATTTGTACTAAACTCATTAAGTTAAATGTGAGCACAGAGAAACCTCCCCTCTTCAGCAGATGAATGTGAAAACAGACTTCTAGTGTTGAACTCTGCACATACATCATTCTGCACAGTGAAACCCAAACATCCAAGTGAAGGAACAAAAAGAAAAACACATTTTAAATGCTTATGAATGCTAAATAGGCGTGTTAAAGTAAAGTGTTGCTCTATTCTCTGATTTAATTACCCGATGAAGTTCCTTGCGGGCCTCGTCCAGCCGCTTATCATCCCAGCTGTCCACCACAAACACCAGTCCGGCTGTATCAGTGTAGTGATGCCTCCAGTGGGGCCTCATCTTCCTCTGGCCCCCCACGTCCCACACCGTCAGGCCCGGGCTGCTCCTGTCTGTCTCCAGTGTCTCCACATTGAAGCCCACAGTCGGCACGGTCACCACACTCTCGTTGTACTTCAGTTTGTACAGCAGGGTGGTCTTTCCTGACCCGTCCAGACCCAGCATCAGGACCTGCGCTTGTTTCCGAGACTTGGATCCATGCATACCCATGTCCTAAGAGTGCAGTCTGTGTCCAAAAACTATGGTTTCTTCCTTTTGTATAACTGTGTAAATTAAGCAGTGTGCAGACAGTGGCTCCCTCTATGCTACCTTATCTGTAGGCTTAGTGTGTCTGCTCTCCTCTGGATACTGTTTGCAACCAGTATGCTTTATGTACACACAAGCAGAGTGATCCCTCCCCCTCTGTTGTGATGGGATTCCTTCTGTCCCTGCGTAGCTTTCAGTAAAGCTATTTATATCTACAGTGACGGTGCAACTAAGTTCTCTGGTTACCACATCACAGTTCGAGGAGTCACATCACACCTGCCCCGGATCATCATACGAGAACACAAGCATCCAGGGAGTCAATGTTCGGTCCAACAGGAATATTGTGTTTATTCTTAGCTGTATGTCCCACAGCAATGACATCACAGGGACATTTTGGTGGAGATGGGTAAATGTAGTTTTATCTTTAGACTGACAACATGGAAGCTGTAGACTTCCAGAAATCTCTCGACATACATTGTTTCTGGGAATTTGTTATTCATCTCAAATGAATATACCATAAAACATAAGTAACCACCGCACACTGGAATGACTTCACTGTTTTATTAGAAGCTTCTTCAGGTTCGCTCATTAAAATGTACACAGGCACTCACGGTTGTGATAAATAGGCTACATCTGGGTCACATGACTAGTTATCAGAATCTTCATTAATACTATGTTTTTGTCATAAGTAATTTTGTGTAGTATTATGTTTTTTAATATATATTTTACAATATATTTTGTAAAAATGGTAAAACACTGACAAAAAGGAAAGGAGAAAAAAGTTTTATTTATCAGACCTGTGGGTGCTCATGTAATTTTACTGAGCAAACATGAAACGTGTTGTTTGCTCCTAATAAAATCACAGTAAAGTTATTCCAGTATGCAGGTGGTTCATTTAGATTTTTAACTGCATGGTCCTACGACCCACCAGCAGCTGACTGTTGTAGTCTGTGCATGGGGAGTTTTGTTTACTAATTATACACCATAAAACATAATTTGGATTATTATGATTATTATGGGTAGGCTACAGGCAGCATTGCACTGATTCTGTGCTACTGTATGACTGGACAACATGATCTGAATCAGTGGTTGTCAACCAGGGGTCCGAGGGGGTTCCAGGGAGCCTCCAGATAAAATGGGGAATATTTTAATTTCAATATTATTTAACTGACTCAATGATAAAATGTATAAGAATGATTATTCTGTTATTTGTGGCTTTCACACTGTTCACTGTTAATCTGCTGATCTACAGCATAGACAGTTATGGAATAAAAAAATCTTATCAGACCAAAGATTGAGAATCACTGCTCTAAACGACACACAATTAGTGCAATCACAACAAATCCAACTATATATATTTATAAAATATACCACTGTATACTGCTGTGCAGGAACACTGTTTGACTGGACTGTAGGCTGATGATCAAATGTCACTGGCTGCTGTTCTCAGTTTTATTATGTGGGATTGTGACTGATCTATTGACTAGTAAGATATAATTAAACACATCAGAGAATCATAATGTCAGGATCAAAGTATGTACAGCTTATTGTCCAGTCCTAACATAATTAGTAAACATAGACTGCTACAATGAACATCTTCTAATCACCCAGCAGATGGCACAGACTGACTGAAACAGAGCTTTTCAAAAGTTGTTGATTCATTTTCTGTCTTTAAATAAGAGAAATAACCAATGGCAGAGAACTTTATGAAAGAACAAGCTCTCATGATATTCAATTAGAATATTTATGTTGCTTATAGTGCCTTTTTATTATTATGAGTCCCCAGAATACACACAATGTAAGGGTATGACAACATTTTCTCTCTTCTCTTTTGCTTTTTTATGTCTACTGATGTTTCTATGATACAGTAAATATGTATGTGTTACTTTCAATGTTTACTTTCTTTAAAAAATGAACAAAAAATAGGCACAGAGAAAATATCATTTATCATTTTAATGTTACCTTTTTGATTTCCATTTTAAAATTTCAGATTTTTGTTTACAGTTTATTAAAGTCAACAAAAACAAGTACAAATGCCACATAAACATTTGGCAGCATACATTATGGAGGAAGAATGTGAACTGAAAAAGCACAAACAGTTTTATCTGTTATATATCTCTGAAGTTAAACAATCCAGGAGCAGGCGCGTTGCTTTCTTCATGGCTGTATAAACATTGGAAGGGATGATAACTAACATGAGGACAGTATGTACATTCATCTTACAATGTCGTGTCTCTCGGAGACACTCTTTCAACGACGATATTCTACATGTGAGTTAACAAGGTGAGACATGGAGGTCGTGCAGTGTGCATGGTAACTGTATGATCGACTGCGTTACATTACAAACTGAGAATAAGTTTTGGCAGCAGACTTCATAACAGGAAATGAACAGTTAAAAAATAAGGCAACAATAACATTTTATTCAAAGGCTTGTTACATTTAGAGTTACAGTTCAGGGAAATGTGATCTGTATCGGGATAAAATTACTCTTCTCTTAGTGAAGGTGGCATTAACAGATGACACTGTAACAGTAAGTTGTCAATTTCAGTATATTTATATCATGTTGGTTTGTAGTAAATGATAATGTAAGAAAAGTCAGATAAAGGAAGAGCATGTCAATATGTAAAAATGAAGCTTATTAAAAGGATTGTAAACCATAGTAATGTACATTCCTAAATAATATAACATTATGATATGCCAACAATTCTTTCAATTATTACATGTGAAAACTCAATTATTAGCTTCTCCTTACAAGTTTGAAGTAACAATCAATCAATGTTAATATATCATCAGATGATGTGTGACAAACCATATGAATCAGCAGTTAGGAGTCATAATGAGATGTTACAACATTATCTCCACATTATCTGAGAGTCTATTGCTTTAAAAAAAAGTTGCATTACATTTTACAGCCATTTAAAATGAGATGCGGTTACACTTTGACAGCCTACTGCATTATCCAGCGGTCATTACATTATCAGTAGTTACATGGAGGCTAATCAGTCGGGGCTAAACACAGTAACAGAAAAAGATCAAACTAGCTCAAACTCAGTCATAAAAGGTCGTAAAATGTATCAACAATCAAAACGAAAATTTGTCTTTAACAGCAATCATTTAAAGTAAACTAAGACATTCAACAAATAAACTTATAAAATTGGGCAACTCAAGATAAAAACACTCAAGAATTCCCACGTTCAGCAAGTGTGATATGATATTGTAATAAGTTCTCTTGCTGTACAATATTCATGGTGATATCTGAACATATGCACATTATCATCTGTGTTGTATGTATAAAGGGAATAAATTCATATTGATGATTTGCACCAGTCACATGTATTTGATCCAGGAAAAGAAAAAAACCTGCCAACTTGTTAAACGACAGACCTTTCAGTGCAGACACCTGGTAGATGTTGATACGATTAAATGATGTGGAAACTAAAAACATAAAATTAGTGGTCACACAGGCAATTGAAATAATGTGGAAGTGAAACTCCATGCTATCTTGTATACTGTAAAATGTTTCATTTATGGCTAGACAATGGGTTGGTTGTTAATGTGACACTTGTGTGCAAGTTTATCACATCGACAGACATCTCTCTCACTCTCACTCTCACACAGACACACATGCACACACATGCA